AAGGTCTTGAGAGATTAAGGATACAAGGTTCATACCTGAATATAATAAAAGCAATATACAGTAAGCCGACAGCTAACATCAAATTAAATGGAGAGAAACTAAATGCCATTCCACTAAAATCAGGAGCAAGACAAGTCTGTCCACTCTCTCCATACCTCTTCAATATAGTGCTTGAAGTTCTGGCAAAAGCAATAAGACAACATAAGGAGATCAAGGGGATTCAAATGGGAAAGGAAGAAGTCAAACTTTCATTATTTGCAGATGATATGACAGTGTATATAAGCTACCCCAAAAACTCTACCAAAGAACTCCTACAGTTGATAAACACCTTTAGTAATGTGGCAGGATACAAGGTCAACTCCAAAAAATCATTTACCCCCCTATACACAAAGGATAAAGAAGCAGAGAGGGAAATCAGAGAAACATCATCTTTCACAATAGCACACATAACATAAAATATCTTGGGGTAGCTCTAACAAAGGAAGTGAAAGATCTATTTGATAAGAACTTTAAGTCTTTGAAGAAAGAAATTGAAGAGAATACCAGAAAATGGAAGGATCTCCCCTGCTGTTGGATTGGGAGGATCAACACAGTTATAATGGCAATTCTACCAAAAGCAATCTATATATTCAATTCAATCCCCATAAAAATCCTAACAAAATTCTTCACAGATCTTGAGAGAACAATAATCAACTTTATATGGAGAAACAAAAAATGCATGATAGCCAAAACAATCCTGTACAATAAAAGTACTTCCGGAGGCATTACCATCCCTGACTTCAAACTCTATTACAGTGCTACAGAAATGAAAACAGCCCTGTATTGGCAGAAAAACAGAGATGGTGACCAGTGGAATCGACGACCTGAATATTAACCCACAAACCTTGAACACCTAATTTTTGACAAAGGAGCTAAAATTATACAATGGAATAAAGAACACATCTTTAACAAATGGTTCTGCCATATCTGTAGAAGAATGAAAATAGATCCATATCTATCATTATGCACAAAACTCAAGTCCACATGGTTTAAAGACCTCAATATAAGTCTGAACACACTGTACCTGATAGAAGAGGAAGAGGGAAGTAGTTTACAACACATGGGCACAGGAGACCACTTCCTGAGTAGAACTCCAGTAGCATAGACAATAAGAGCTACAGTGAATAAATGGAACCTCTTGAAACTAAGAAGTTTCTGTAAAGCAAAGGACACTGTCATTTAGACAAAAAGGCAATCTACTGACTGGGAGAAGATCTTCACCAACCCTGCATCAAAGGTCTGATCTCCAAAATATATTAAGAACTCAAGAAACTAGACATTAAAACTCTAACCCACATAAAAAATGGGGTACTAATTTGAACAGAGAATTCTCAACAGAAGAATTTCAAATGGCCAAAAGACACTTAAGGTCATGCTCAACTTCCTTAGCGATCAGGGAAATGCAAATCAAAATAACTCTGAGATACCATCCTATATCAGTCAGAATGACTAAAACCAAAAACACCAATGATAGCCTATGCTGGAGAGGTTGTGGAGTAAGTGAAACACTCATCCATTGTTGGTGGAAATGCAAACTTGTACAACCACTTTGGAAATCAGTGTGGCGGTTTCTCAGGAAACTGGGAGTCAACCTCCCTCAGGATTCAGCAATTCCACTCTTGGAAATATACCCAAGAGATGCCCAATCATACTACAAAAGCATTTGTCCAACTATGTTCATAGCAGCACTATTTGTAATAGCCAGAACTTGGAAACAACCTATATGTCCCTCAATAAAAGAATGGTTAAAGAAGGTATGGAACATATACACTTTAGAGTTTTACTCAGCGGTAAAAAACAATGATATCTTGAATTTTGCATGCAAATGAATGGAAATAGAAGACACTTTACTGAGTAAGATAACCCAGACCCAAAAAGATGAACATGGTATGTACTCACTCATAAGTGGATTCTAGCCATAAACAAAGGACCTTGAGCCTATAGTTTGTGATCCTAGAGAAGCTAAATAAGAAGGTGAACCCAAAGAAACACATATAGTTATCCTCATGGATATTGGAAGAAGACAAGATCACCGAGCAATAGTTGGGACCAGGAGGGTTGGGGTGGTTTGGGGGAAGGGGAGATGGGGAGAGAGAAGGGAGAAGGGGGGATTGGGGAGAGATTAGGGGAATTGGATAACTGAGATGGAGGAAGAATAGATATGGGAGCAGGGAAGAAGATATCATTTCATTGACTTTATTTTGGCCAGTCCCATTGCGTATATACTAGGTCCCTGGGCTGTTAAACTAGTGGGATGTGGCCCTTCAGACAGTGTCAGGGATGCCTCCCTCTCATAGTACAGATTTCAAGCTGGACCACTATTAATTGACCACCCTCACAATTTCTTTGCCACCTTTATCCCAGCACATCTTGAATGTAGGTCAAATTGTAGGTCTTGAGACTTAGCTGGTCTCCCAATCCCTCCACTGGAAGTCTTGTCTGGTTAAAAGAGATGGACAGATCAGGTTCTGTATGTATCCTCCAGTGCTAGAGTCACCCTCATAGAATCCTGGGATTCTATGTGCTAGGTCTCGAACTCCTCTCGAGAGATGCCTCCTCCAGATGCCATTTGTCTTTCCAAGTACTCTCTCCTTCCATCCTCCCTCGCCGTGATTTATCCTGTTCCCATTCCAAATCCTCCTATGGAGTCCTCCATCTCTCCACTGGCAATATCTATTCTATTTCCCCTTCACTGTGTGGTTCTTAGGTACCCCCTTGATTCTTCCTTGTTACATAGCTTCTCTGGGTCTGTTGATTCTAAGATGATTATCATTTACTTTACTGCTAATACCCATTTATAAATGAGTACATACCGTGTTTGTCTTTCTGGGTGCGGGTTACCTCACTCAGGATGGTCTTTTCTAGTTACATCCATTTGCCAGCAAATTTCATGATGTCACATTTTTAACAGAAGACTGCTACTCTATTGTGCAAATAAGAAAAAATGACTATTTAAAAGTTGTACTTCGGTTTATATTGTGATCAAAAATGAGACCTTGGCGATTAACAAGAAAGGGAAGATCATGGTTAAATAACACTGTTTTCATGTGTCAAGTTGACAAAGGGTCAGTTGTGGTTAATTCTTGTCGGCTTGACACAAACTAGAGATTCCCAGGAGGAAGAAACCTCAGTCAAATGATGCTATTTTTCATACTTCTTTGTGGGCATGTTTGTGGACATATTCTTCATTAACAATTTGTATGGGAGGCCCTAGCCTCTCTGTGGACAATATCATGTCTGGGGAGAAGGTTCTGAGTTGTACAGAGAGCCTGTGTGTGACTGACCTAGGACTTCTGCATGTGGGGGACAATTATGTAGCTTGGTCTGCTTATATGACCCCTAGCAATGGGACCAGGATCTGCTCCTGGTGCATAATCTGGCTTTTTGGAACCCACTCATTATGGAAGGATGCATTTCTCAGCCTTGATGCTGGGGTAGAAGCTTGCTCCTTCTTCAATTTGGTATGCCAGGCTTTGTTGACTCACTATGGGAGGCCTTATTCTTTCTGAGGAGTGGATGGGAAGGATATAGAATGGAAGTGGGGGAAGAAATTGGAGGAGAGGAGGAAGGAGAAACTGTGACTGGTATATAAAACAAATAAAACGTCTAAAATAAAATAAAATAAAATAGAAACAGCAACCAAAATAAGATGAGCAAGCCAGCGAGGAGCAAGCTAGTAAGCAGCTTTCATGTATGTTTCTTACCACTGTTCCAGCTTAAATTCCTGGCTGGCTTACTTCAGTGATGGAATATGATCAGAAATGTAAACCAAACAAATCATTTCCTCCCTCAGTTGCTTCTGGTTATTATATTTATTTATCTTAGCAATAGAACGCAAACTATTTCAAACACTGGAAGAGGTAACCCATACCGGGTTTAGGCATTTTCATTTGTTAGCCCGTCGTACATGATAGATGTATTCTTGTCCCAGCATAAATGCATTTTAACTTTATATATAATATATGTGTGTGTGTGTGTATAAGCTTCTAGAATGAAGAAAAATTTAAATAGATCCTTCCTTTAATTATATAATTGCCATAATCATCAGCACACAATAATTGTACAGGTTAGTGGGTTTGTTGTAAAATTTTAGTATATGCATTTGCTGTGATTTCCTCATAGTCATCTTGCCTCCCACTCCGCTGTCCTCTCCCTTCCCCTGTCCCCTTTCCCTTACTCATTTGTATAATTTCTATTTTCAGATCATCTTTAGTTTCTTTTTTTTCTTCCTTTTATTTGTTTTCACATATGAGAACACATATGTGTCAGTTGTCTCTGTATGTCTGCTTGATTTTGCTTTACAAGATGTCCTTCAATACCACCAATTTTCTATAGATGGCGCCAGTTCATTATTCCTTGTGGCTGAATATTTCTCTGTTGTTTCAGGTACAGTATTTTCTGCATTCATCAGTTGACAGGTGGTACCTAGACTGCATCCTCATCTTGGCAATATTGAATGGGGCTGTCATGAACACACATATGCAGGTTTCTCTCTTATATAATGACCTCAGTTCTCCTGGATAAATGCCGATTTCTGGTCTTAAATGGATCATTGATCTTTCTTTTTCTTGTTTCTTCCTTCCTTTCTTTCTTTCTTTCTTTCTTTCTTTCTTTCTTTCTAAATCCTTCCTTCCTTCCTTCCTTCCTTCCTTTCTTTCCTTTCTTTTCCTTTTTTCTTCTCTTTTGTCTCTCTTGCTCTTGTCTTTTTTATTTTTTTCTTTCTTTGTGTATTTCAGAAAATTTGCAATGCTATTCCTGGTGGCTAGATGAGCTCACATTTCCACCCTCACTGTATATTGGTAGGATAACAATAGAGGGATTTCTGATTCTCAGTGTCTGCATTTTCATGGTAATGAATTTGGACAAAATGGGGAAGTGTTTCCTACATCAGAGTTAGCTTTAGACAAAGTGTTTGTAAGAGGCGGAGCCTGTTGAAAGTACTAAGTCCCTGTGAAGTTGAAGTCTGTGTTCTGGGGAGACAAAAGGCCACCACAGTACTACACAAGCTTCAGTCTAGGAAGAATGGACAAGATACTGAAAGCGACATTATTAGTCATAACCCTTCACCTAGCCTGTGAGTCATGGAAGAGAATCTCCAGGATATAGGATTAATTTGGAGGCATGAAATAACTGGGGAACCAGAGAAAATCATGATGATAAAACCATAACCAGGTAGGACATACCTGGAAACCTAATGACACCTGTTATTTCTCTACACAGGGGTGAGTGGCCAGCGGGAGAGACCTGACCAGCAGCTGGTGAGACAAAGCCACCAATCTCTGACAGTCTGGGAAGGAGAGATTTCAGTTCTAAACTGCACTTATGAGGACAACACATTTAACTACTTCCCATGGTATCGGCAGTTCCCTGGTGAAGGCCCTGCATTACTGATAGACATACGTTCAGTGTCAAACAAAAAGGAAGATGGAAGATTCACAGTCTTCTTCAGTAAAAGTGATAAACAGCTCTCCTTGCACATCAGAGATTCTCAGCCTGGAGACTCGGCCACCTACTTCTGTGCAGCAAGTGCACAGTGATCTCCAAGCACCTGCAGCCCACACTGAAACCTCCAGCAAAACCCTGCTGTGGGGTTTGAATCTGGCAAAGGTGCAGAGGAGTTTTCCTTTGCAGGAAATGTCTGGTGACTCAGTAAACTTAAGGATTAGATTCATTCAGGCCACAGACAGTTGAAATTATAGCTTGCCTTTTTCCAGTCTCCCTTTGCTACCCAGGCATCCCTGAAGTTTTACATGTATTTACTCAACTAGTTTAGGCGAATACAAATAGTTCTCTGTGTGCTTGGTTTTTAGTTTAGTTTAGTTTGTAGTTTTATTTTGTTTTGTTTTGTTTTGTTTGTTTGTTTGTTTTTGAGATAAGGTTTCTCTGCAGCTTTGGAGCCTGTCCTGGACGTGTACTTGGTTTTTATCAAATGAAATTTATAAAGTCCCCATCGCCCTATACCCTTGTCAACAGTGTTGTTAATGTGTGGTTATTACACCCCAAGGCTTTCATTGTGACTTTTGTGCTGGAAATCATATAGAATAGTCTTTTGCCTTACTTTCCCTCTGATGACAAGGGCAGCAGTGATTTATCTGACCATTGTCCACTTCTAATTCCTCTTATTTTGTCACTTATATACCCAAGTACCTCAAGAAATTCAACTGTGTTAACTTAAACATACTCACAAGACAGTAGATGTGTCTAAAATAGACAAATGATATCATTGCGGGAAAAATGGAATTTACTCATATAGTGAAAATGCATAATTTTAACTAAAATAGTTTCACATGTGTATTTTGTAAATGAAAAAATACAATTTTGAATGTAATTTTTAGCTCATAAAAGCAGCTGAAGTACACAAAATAGAAAAAGAACCTCCTTGTCTAATAATTTGTATGTTTACTCACTTAATTCGGCAAAAATACTAAGATTTCAACTGGAAAAACTTTAGTTTATAAATGTAAATATTTTATGGCATATAAATGATGATTGTGTTAACTGTAACTACCTAGGAAGTCAAGGCAGGCACAATGCCTGAGTCTAGGATTGAGAGTCTAGCTTAAGCAACTCTCATTTATAAAACCAAAACCAAAATAAAACAAAAAAAGAAAACCAAAAATAACAGAATCAATGTGGAAGATATTAAATTAAACAAGCAAATTCTGTAAGCTCTCCTTATCCACAGTGAATAGTTTTCAGTATGTAAAAAGGAAAGTTAAGAAGGAAATATGGTAGTTGGCTCTTAGCAGTAGGCAATATATCTCACAATATCAGTAGGTGAACTCACCATGTCCTCAAAAGTGTTATGTCCTTCTCAAGTTTAAACTTGAGGTAGAAATTGGGAGCAGCATTTATATCAGATTGGAATAGGTTTTACTGAATACAAACACCTAACTTATACATCAGCAGGAGAGAAAAGGCATCCTTGAGGATGCAGAAGAGAGAATTGGAAAATTCTGGGTACCTCAAGATAAAACCTTCAGCTCCTAGGGCTTGAGTGGTTAGAAAGTATTTAAAGTAACGTGAGAGACAGTGAAGACAGGTTAATGTATAATAACATAATCGTCACCACTTGGGAATTTTCATGTGACACTTAAGACTGATCTCTGAGTCAGAAGCCAATCTTGTCTACAGCGTGAGTGCCAGGGTAGTCAATCTTAGGTAGTGAAGGATACAATTGAGATCAGAAAGTTGTGAAGCTCTAGTTCAACAAGGAGGCTATGTTCCAGCCCCAGTAGGCAGCAGAACTTGGCAACTTTGGCCATGTGTGCTGACTTTAGAGTCAAGGATGAACACTTGGAATCTCTCTCTGTAAATAAGGAAAGCCACTGAGCCCATGCATGCCTCAGGCGTGACCTTGAAAGAGAATCCAGATAGGCAAGTCTGTGAAATTATGAAGTTTCAACCTGCATGTCTTAGAGAACCCAAGTTGTTAGAAATCCCAGAGTCATTGGATATCGACTAAATAAAGGAGCTAACAGGTAGTGGAATGAACCCAAGGGAAAGAAGTCTGCTGCAGGCAAGAAAGCTAAAAGATGAGATCTGAAGAACATTTTGACGTCAGACACAGAAATTCAGAGTTTGCAGTTTGCCCAGCATGTTTTCAGTCTTGCTTTGTTCCAGCATTTCCCTACTATGCTCCTTTTCCTCCCTTTTTAATGGTGATATATATTCTTTCGTGTTTTATGTTGGAAGTGTGTAATTTGTTCTTTAATTTTGATTTTATAGCAAATTAGAGTTAAGGGATTGCCTTGAGTCAGAAGAGACTCTGAACTTTGGACTTTTAAACATATTGAGACTGTGATATAAAATCAGGATTTTTGAAGATAGGCATTTTTGCATTATAACATGTCTACACGCCTGTGGGCACCAGGAAGAAGAATGTGGTGATTTGAAAAGCAATGGTCCTACAGGTTCATACATCTAAATTCTTAGCCACAAGGAAGTGACAATTTTTAAAAGGATTATAAAAATTAGGATGTGTAACCTTATTGGTGAAAGCTTGCCACTGGGGGGGCACAAGGGGTGGCAGTTTCAAAATCCTATATCAAGCCAATAGAGTTAGTGCCCTTTTCTTTCTGCCTTCACATAAGGATATAGGTCTCAGTTACTGCCCTAGTACCTGCCTGCATGCCACCAAGTTCCCCATCATGACAATTTGTTGACTTTTACTGGCCTATGGGGTCTATCTGATAGACAAGGGATCTAAGGACCTGAAAGAATGGGGCCTACAAGCAGTCTAATGTTGTAGACAAACTTCAGTTTCAGTGATTTTTATTCATGAATGTAACAAAGACAGCAATGATACAAAAAATAACAACACAAAAACACATAATTGGAAAAACATAAATAAACCCTCATTTATTTATACTAAATGTTAACAGAGATGCCCTTTCCTAGAATTTTTTCAGAACAGAACAACTTAAACATACTGCCTGGGATGTAATACTAAATACTATAACTGGAAAATCACAAGAGTGAGGTACAAGGCCATGTCGAGATACAGAGTACACTGACCACTTGGGTTCTATACCTATGATCTGACAGCTAACAAGAATAAACATGGTGTATAAATTGAATGTAAATGTTTAGCATAGGAGGCATGAAATTATGTCCAAGATCAATCCAGGGAGCACAGTACACTTGAGGTAAAAGCCCCTTTGTCTTGTTTCCTGAAGGTTTTTTTTTTAATATAGTTATCCAAGATATTGTTTATCATGGATCGTTCTTTTGACCATTATAGTAGTTTGGAAGAAAATGTCCCCCCAAAGTGAGTGGCACTATTGGGTAGTGTCTTTTTGTTGAAGGAGGTTTGGCCTTGTTTTTTAAGAAGTGTGTCCTTGTGTGGGTGGCTTTGAAGTCTCTGTCACTCAAGATACTCCCAGTGTCATGGATCATTTTCCTCTTGCCTTCTGATCAAGGTGCAGCCAGCACCATGTCTGCCTATAGGTCATGATGTTCCCCATGATGATAATGGACTGAACTTTTAAAACTGCAAGGGAGCCACTCCAATTAAAGGTTTCCTTATAAGAGTTACCGTGGTTCTGGTGCCTCTTCAGAGAAGCATAAACCCAAACCTAGACAATGGTGTTCCAACAACAATGGACTAAACCTCTGAAACTGTAAGCAATCCTCTAATTAAATGGGTTTTTTTGTAATAGTTGAGTGTGTATAAGTGGGTACACATACCTGTGTGCATGTGAAGGCCCGAAGATGGCATCCAATCACTCAAAACCTGAAGTTGCAGACTTTATGGGACACTCAGCTTGTTAAGTGTGTTCTGAAGATTCACCTTTATGATTAGCAGAAAGCACTTTTCACTGCTGAGCCACCTCTCCGCCAACTTGAACCTTTATCTTCACTAGGAATTATTGTTTGCCAATTACAATACGAGGAAAGTTATGTAGCATGGAGAGCGTTAAGCTGCTCTGTGGAGAACTAGAACAGGGCAGAACCTTGCCATTCTGAGCTCCTCGGGCTACTGTGACTGCCATCGTCAAATGCTTAGGCACAGATACTGCAGTCCAGGGCATGTGCTGCCTGTCAGCCCTCAGCAGTGAGATGGGCAGAGGTGTATATCTCAGATACTAGAAACTTTTCCTCGATGTACATGTTGACTGGTTATTTAAACTCATAGTAAGACGTGGTATTGGGGACCTCTGAACTCTAGCCTCAGCACCTCCCAGGGTTCAGAACAGAATGCTCATTGCTAGCAAAGACTGACTAAAAATATCTGAGAGTGAACAAATAAACTCAAATATGTTTTTTATTCATGTTTCTCTTTGTACTTCAAAAGAAGTTTCCATCCCCGACAAGCCTTTCAGTTTATATACACATACAGTTTATAGACACAATTGCCAATTCCATATGCAATAACAGTGATACCAATAACAGTGATACCAAACAAGTATTACACAGAGCCACAAAAATCAGTAAGTCTGAAAAAGCAGGCACCTAATAGCTTACTACTGTCTCTGAGAGGACATGGCTATGAAGCTCCCCAGCAGATACTGGGAAGATTAATTAAGGATGGGACTTTAAATAAGAACAGAACTCTAAGAAGAGGAAAACAGGGGCCTTTAGTGCTCTAACTACATTTCTAGTGACTAGTTAAGCTAGAAGTTTGTAGTAAATGTAGAAAAAGAGGGAAGAAAAATGCAGAAGTGCTGTTGCATGTTCTGAGCACTCCCCCTTCCTTTCCTGGCAGCTGAAAACACAGCATTGTGGTAACCATGACAATCAGTTTAAGCCACTGGAGAAAAGCTATGGTGCTTGATTTATTTTGGTATCTTGCTGAGTTAAATTCCTTGCTAAGGGAATTTCTTTGGAGAATGCCATTACCAACTCCTGGCTAAGCAGCAGGGTGCCTGATTGAATTCCTTTCTCTGGACCTAGTTTAGTGGTCCAAGCTATTTTTCCTGTACCTCTTGGAGTAAAGGCACAAACAGTAAATTTCCTAGATTAAGATCTTTTGTCAATTGAAACCAGGGTGAAGATAAATGTAGAATATTAATAGCATGTTAGGGTAGAGCAAAAACCAGTATGTTACAGTCTGCTGAGAGTTCAAAGCCACCCAGACCTGTTTTCCAGTAAGGGCAGACATGCTGTCTTTCCTTCGCACTGCCTATCTCTTGAGGTTCTCATGTGGTCTATTCACAAACCTCCTTCCCTTGTTGGATGTCCTACCAACAAGCATAATTGTGTGTGTGCATGCAGGGGGATGGGAGATTCAAGAAGATCTGACTATGAAGACAATGGTTTCTTTGACTGAGTGAATACTTTCACACCAGGGTCCCACAGTGTGGAAAAAGGTCATCAAGTGCCAGTACAGAAGAAAGTTAGGCTCAGTAAATGAGGAATGCACTGCTGGGATATTACAGGATGAATCCCACTATGGAAAAGGGGAACACTATGGCTTCACAAGGCTTTAGCAGAAAGGACAGTAACTATTCAAAAGACAGGAGTTCCCGAAGCTCTGCAAATTGGGTTCCTCACAAGATTTACTCCCATGAGTTAGTCTATTGATCTGTCAGCTGTACTTTCACTGTGTACTCTTGTGGACTTGTAGGAACATGGAACTATTTCAGAGACTTATTTGTACTTTTCTCTTCTGATGTCTTTGATTCATTTCTTCCATTGGGATAATGAGAGCAAATGAAAGAATAAGAGGTACAGTCTAATTGATGATACAGCAGTACGCAAAAGATCAACCAACAGTTTATGAGGTATTAGCAAGGCCCTAGGTGTTTTCTGGTTATATGTGTCATGTACATGTAATAGGCTTGAATCAAGGAGAGGCCTAGCCAGATTATCATGAGCCCATTTCATTCATTTAAAAATACACAGAATTTAACAAATGAAACTGAATACTTCAGGGGATGGTATAGAAGCTTCTAGGACTTGTAAGAAGTAGAATTCTTTGTGTGGAGAAAAAAGGACATCTTCCGAATAAACCATGATGTTAGACTTTTACAGTTAATCAGTTTTTGTAAAAGTATATTTTCAAATTAGTGATAATTTTATGTGTCTCTGTTTCTCTCTCTCTTTCTCCCCCCTCTCTCTCTCTTTCTGTGTGCATATATCCAGTGATCAACATTGAATATCTTCCTCTATTGCTCTCCTCATTCATTCATTCATTCATTCATTCATTCATGTATTTATTTCTCTATTTTCATATTTATATGGTAGCGGTTCTCACTGAAACTGGAGTTCACCAATTGAACTAGACAGACTGACTTGGAAAACCCCAGATTCCCCATCTCTGTTTCCCAGAGCTATGACTTCAGCTGCACCCACATCCACTGAATTCTTATGTGTCTGGAGATCAACACATAGGTCCTCATGAGTCACAGCAGGAACCAACACATGAGCATCTCCTCAGTCTCTAAGGCCATTATTTTATTTCTGTTACAGTTTCACAGAACATGAGCAAATGGGGATCTTCTGTAATTCTGATGGACTTCCCTTCTCCATGTGATTTACAAGCAGTTCTGTGAATTGCTGAATTTATAGGGACCCTAGCACTCAGTAAAGGAGGAAGATTTTTTCAGAGGAAATGCATGGACTCATCATTATTTATTTTAATTAAGCTTTATTAGACAATAGATGTAGAGAAGTAAACATGTAACAACCATCTGTAAGTATATTATACATATTGTACATAGCTCATGATGAATCTGACTTTGGGTTACCCAAATATTCCCACTGACTAACATCCATGAGTGCAAAAACAGAATCACCCTCAGCAGGGGCAGATTTTCCCATTCTTCCTTTTAAGTACCACCTCTTTTAACTACCAAGAAAGAAAAGAAGCAAGTAAAAGTCTGTGGTGAGCTACACTTTTTTCTCTATATACAAGAAACTTGTGGGCTATGATCATACAAAACCTCATTTCCTGCTTGAGGTGATGAAGGAAACAGAGCCAGCAGATATCCAGTGTCAGACACTGAGACACTTAACACTGATCTAAGGCCCAGGAAACACACAGACATGTGCCCCATGCCTCTCCAAAGCCTGCTCTCTATGTTGGTGGCCTTGGCCTTATCTGGTATGTATGTTTCACATATAGTTAAGAATATTAAGCAGGAGGCATTGCCCCAGGAATATGGCAGTTCACATTGACATGATGGGGAAGAGGAACTAGGAAAAAACAAGCAACATGTATCTTCAGTTAGGGCTGTCTTGTGTCTCAAGGTAACAAATTCCAACAGTGTTTTTTTTCAAACTGTCACAGAATAAGCCATTTTCTTTCTTTCAATTGTTCTGCAGGATTCAATTTGGGCCAGAAAGTGACTCAGTTCCAATCAACCGTAAGCACACAGGAGGGAAAAGAAGTCACCCTAGACTGTTCATATGAGACAAGTCGGAGCTTATACTATCTTTATTGGTACAAGCAGCTTCCTAGTGGAGAAATGATTATTCTTCTTCGCCAAATGTCTTCTTCTCCTCGGACTGACAAGTGGAACCGCTACTCTGTCACCTTCCAGAAATCAGCCAAGTCCATCAGCCTTGTCATTTCAGCCTCACAGGTGGAAGATTCAGTGAAGTATTTCTGTGCACTCTGCGAACAGACTCACAGTGTTTGAAAAGATAGCACAAGCTGAACAAAAACTGCAGCTCCTTGAGCAGAGCATCTCTCAGGGAGCCCCGATGAGAGGAACATCTGCACACCCAGGCCAGAAGGTCCCAACCATGACTCCTTCGTCTGTGGTCTGCTCAGATGTGTGTTTCTAAGTAAAACCTCATATTATGCAATTTACTAACAGTCTCCATGAGTGTTCTTTTAATATTTTGTCTTGAAAGAATTTAGCTTAAAAAAAAACCACAGAGACCATGTGTAGTATTTATCTTTACTTGGCAATCTTGCATCAGAATGATTTGAAGTGTTATTTTCCTTGAAGTTTGTAACAGAACATACCTCAGCCTAGACATCAGGAAGAGCAAGGAACATTTTTTTGTGCGTGAAACTTAGAGAAGCAGAGCCATTGTCAGTGAAGTAGTCAGAGATACATTATAAGGAGTTCACCCAGGTAACTTATGATGGTTTCTGGGGAGTCCCTCCATATCATTATCTTTGCATCTGGTACTGCGCCTAAGGTACTGAAAGTCAGCTAGACCAGAGTAGAGAAGGACAGTTGCATGAAGGCAGCACCTGATTCTGCTGATCCTTTAGAAAATACAGTGAGGCTCATAAGGCAACTGGAATCTAGGAAGACAAACATCCCTCATCTCCTCAATTTCTCTTGTTAGAGAGAAATTGAGAAGAAATCGAGGTCTTTTCCAACATTTTACCCTCAGACTTGACCCAAGATGAAGGAAAGCTCTAGAAGTAAGGAGTAGCGAGTTAATGGTAAATTGAGCCAAAACCTCATTGAAATAATGTGTGCCTGGGCCTGGATCTGCTGAGGTATACATAAAAACAAATATATCACACATGTTTTCAACTTTTCTGTAGTTTCTTTTTCCATATCCATCTTACAAGTAGAACATGGGAAACAAAATTTCACGAAATATGTTTCCAGATATGTTTTCAAAAATTTATTTTTATTTCATAATCTGTGTGTAACTCTTTTTCCTGTAAGTATGTGTGTGTACTGTGTACATGGCTGTTGCCCATGGAAGCCAGAAGAGTGATTGGTATTCCCCTTGGTATGCTGTGATTACCATTAATGAATAAAGGAATTGCGTTGGACCTATAGCAGGGCAGAACTTAGGTGGGAAAAACTAAACTGAATGCTGGAAGAAAGGGGGTGGAGTCAGAGAGAAGCCATGGAGTCACCACTGGAGACAGATATGCTGAAACCTTGCCAGTAGGCCACAAGCCTCATGGTAAATTATAAAATAATGGAAATGGGTTAAATTAAGTTGTAAAAGCTAGGCAATAAGAAGTTAGAGCTAATCGGCCAAGCAGTGATTTAATTAATACAGTTTTGGAGCTAAGCAGCTGAGAGCTAATTAGAGGCCTTATTACAACAAATTGTCACCCAACCCCAGCGTGGTCAACTAAATCCACATAAAACCTGAGAAAGCTTCAAAAGGAATTTAAACACAAAAGAACAGAGTCAAGCATGGTTTGGTAGCAATATTTTCTTGGGTGGGCTCTGTTTCCTAAAAGCAATCAGAGACATGGCTCCTTTAAGAGAGATTTTCCTGACTCAGCAGAAGAAAAAGCTGCAGGAAAAAAAAGCCATGCTGTTTTGAAACTGCAGCTTTCTGGGCCAGGCTGCCAGCACAAACACTGACTCTTTTGAGAGAGCTAGCTATAGAGAATTTAAGTGGGTTTTGTGATCAGTATGCTACAACTTGCTTTATGGCATCATAGAAGAACTGTGTGTCTAAAAATGGGGCAAGATACATGGCTCTCAGAGGCAGGAAACAGTTCAGCCATGCTGGACTGTAACATGAGTTACATTGGGGTTTCTGTCCTGCCTGATACCCCACAGCCAGCAAGTCCCAAAGAAAATCACACAAAGTCTACATTAGGTTCTAAATGATTTGCCCATTAGCTCAGTCTTCTTATTAGGTTTTGTAGCTTATATTAACCCATTGTTTTTATATATGCTAGCCACATGGCTTGGCACCTTTCACAGTTGGGCAGGTTACATCTTGCTTCTTGGTGGTCTGGGCAAGAATGCAGAGGGAGCTTCCTGCTTCCCAGAATACTTCTGTTCTCCTTACTTTGCCTCTACTTCCTGTGTGGTTGACCCACCTATACTTCCTGCCTGGCCAATCAGCATTTATTTAAATCATGATTGACAGAATACAGACAATTCTCCTGCACAACTGGACTGGGCAGAGCAATCAGTCATGGCCATATTTCCCCTAGCACTGATGCTGTTTAAATTAATAAGAAGCACCTAGTATTTTAAGAAGCTGTCCTAGTCAGAAAAGAATTTCAGATATACAATAGGACACATTCAGAAATAAAAGACCTCTAAATAAGACACAATGTGCTTATAAAATGTATGTAGGCTTGGGAAAAAAAGAAAAAAGAATATAGAGAGTTATAAAAAGAAGTAAATAGTTTAGTAAAAAGTCTTTAAAGAGACAGAGTACACAGAGTCATAGATTAAAGGAATAAAGATAATAAAATAAATATTAAAAAGTAATAATATAAAAACAAACCATATAAAGATGGAATTCACAGAGAATCTGAATTATGTAAATTATTGTGTTTTCTTTGAATTTCTTGACTGTGAAGGCACTAGGTAACCAACATATATACTTGAAAGGTATCTTGACTTCCAAATTTGGGTCTATGGATTTGTTGCTTTGGAAAAGAGGTTCTGCTTTTGTTTCCGCAGAGGATGAAAACCTGTGGATTGCTTCCAGACTAATGTGGTTTTATGGACCAAGACACCCTGAAAGGTCACCTTGAACACCCCTCAAAAATTACTTTGCCCAATAAATAATAGGAAGAAGTTTGGAGAGAACTATACCCATATTTCCATATTACAAACAAAATATTATTTGTAAATGTTGTTTATCTTTAAAGGGGCTTATGATATAGAGATTTGAAGTGATATGGATCTTGGTCTATACATACAAATTTAAGGTCAGTTTCATTAGATGTGTATTTCTCTTCTTGATTAAGGTATTATGTTTGTGCATCTCATTTAAAAATGTAATATATAATTAAGAAATATAGCTTAATATATAACCATCTATAATAGTCAAGCTTGTAGTCACGTTAGTTAGGTTTTCTAGATGTACAACGATGTCTTTCAGATGGATAGGCATTCTTCAAACCTTTTAAAGAGTACAGTATATGGCATTTAAAATGCTTAAAAATTTAGGACTTATCATGACAATGAGACACACCTGTTCCTGGCAGTATGAATATATTTCAAGAGAAAGATGGGTATCAAAGAGGATCTTTATGGAGTTGGTTAGCCGTTTGGGAAAGAAACTGCTCTTGCCTTGACTGCTTAATGCTATGTTGTATGTACTGGACATGCAAGACTCACAGAGAAATGACTGCTGAACTTGCCTAAGGGTGAGATGGTTCTTCGGGGCCCCTGCTTCCTGAAACAGTCTGACAGATATTCTGCAGAACAGTGAAGAAAGTAACCGACAAACTGTCTGAATTTTCCTGCCCCATGAAAAAGTCTGCTGGATACTATGGGCCTGTAGGCTGAAGATGCATGCCCCAAAAATACAGAAGAACTTTGGGTGACTGTCCAGGCAGCGAGATGTTTCTGTCAATTCTAGGGTTCTGGAAGTAGCTTACAATGTACTTCCTGTTTTCTTAAGTAATATTATATCCTTCTGGAGTCATTGACAGATTTGAAGAATAGATAATAATAGTATAGTTTTCCTTACTTATGATAAAAGGTAAAATACATATAAATATTGTAACCAATTCTTTCTTGATAATTGTATTATGTAATTTTACTATGTTAAAGTTAAAACCATCCTATTTTATTTAAACAGAAAAGGGGAGGTGATGTGGGATTCCCCTCTGTATGCTGTGATTACCATTAATGAATAAAGAAATTGCTTTAGACCTTTAGCAGGGCAGAACTTAGCTAGGTAGGAAAAACTTAAGTGAATGCTGGAAGAAAGGGGGTGGAGTCAGAGAGAAGTCATGGAGCCACCACCAGAGACAGACACACTGAGACCTTGCCAGTAGACCACAAGCCTCATGGTAAAATATAAAATGATGGAAATAGGTTAACTTAAGAAGTAAAAGCTAGCCAATAAGAAGCTAGAGCTAGTAGGCCAAGCAATGATCTAATTAATACAGGTTTTGTGTAATTATTTTGGGGCTAAGCATCCAGGAACTTACCAGTGGTTCATCACAACAGAGGAGGGCATTAGATTTTCTGTAATTGGAATTACTGGAGAATATGAGTTGCCATGTGAGTGCTGCGAACTGAATCTGAGTACTCTGATGGAGGTGCGAATGCTTTTAACATCTGAGTTAATGTTCTAGCCTCTGTTTCCAGATTATTTACATTGTGACTACGAAGCTATCCTAGGACTTCTGGAGAAATTTTCAGATTAGATGTTGGTTTCTAGTTTTCATGAAAACAGCCAAGGTTAAAACATAAAACACAGTAAGTCTTTTAAGAGAAAGCACTAAAAAAACAGAGATGAGATGGTACTTTCTCCACAAAGAACCAGTCAAGCAACAGAGCTGTAACATGCTGCTCACACCAGTTACCAACAGCTGTAGTCAGAACTAGAGTCGCTGCCTGCATTGTCTCTATGGGAGCCAGAGAGAGAAAATTCAGCAGTCTTAATGCATTTTCCCTGGTCTCTGACTCAGTTCCTGGCTCTGGATTCTTGTCCTGAGCTCTGATTGGTTCCCTCAATGGTGCAAAATGAGGTGGAATTATAATCTGAAATATTCTCTTTTTTATCCTGGTTGATTTTGATCTGTGTTTAATTATGTAATCCGAACCAAAATAGAACAGGGACCAGGGACTCATGTCAAAAACTTCTGATAGAAAAGGAGTTTTTCACCACAGAAATCCTTTTCTGGAAGGACCAAATGATAACTTGTTCGCATTCATGAAACTAGCAGCCTGTCCCATCTTTGGAGACTGATATACAATCAACCCAAGCAGAGGGAGAAACCCCTCATCATAAAGAGGATGAAGTAATAATTCAATGCATGATGCCTTCTACTTTATGCTATTGGGTATTTTCATACTGGATTTTAAATTTATTATTATTGTACAGTTTTGCACACACACACACTTATGTACTTTGGTTGTATTCCCCAATTACCTTCTCAGACTACACTTCATCAAC